CAGAGACAGTAAACTGTACCACTCAATCCATGAACCCGGATATAGAGGTTTTGCCCTTGTCCAATGAGCTTCTCTGTGTCAATCAAATCTCCGTTCCATAATAGGCACCTAGTTTCATCCCCATTGATATCCTTGGTGCTCGTATTGGCGAAAGCATACGCTGTGCAGGAGCAGTTGCTGGTGCATTCTGCTATGCATTCATCTAAGCTTATATTCTTGACATGCAAGGACTCATGGGGAACCTTCATGCTTGGCAAATTTAAGAAGCCATCCTGTTGACCACATCTTAGTGCTTCCATCCGGTGGCATCCCTGCGAAAACCTGTGTGCCGTCCAGTCTTGCTTGTTGTTTGGCTCAAAGCCATCAATACATTTGCATGTCACAATAGGCTGCGTGTTGTCGCAGTAACCAAATGGACCACAGTAACCAAATTTGTTGCATTCCTGTTTAGGTTCTGATCGCAGGTCAGTCCATTTGGACATGTTGCTATTCCAGGTTCGTAACTTCATCTTGCCTGAGTAGTCCATCTTCAGTAGCACTAAGGAGACACTTGGTTCTGGTAGTCCAAAGGAAATGTACACCTCATCATCAATAGTATTCAGTGTGAAGTGAATTGTGGACTTGACACTCTCGACGTACCGCCCTACTAACAAATAGTTATTCCACGCTGGACTTCGCCAGTATGGTGTCGAACCATTCCATGAAAAACGCCGCAGAAACTCATCAGGGTGTGCACCATATGAGAAGTTGCCCGGGGATGGGTCTTGGGTGTTTCTCCAAGAGACGAGCCGTTGTAGTGCATGCGTCTTGTGGGTGATCCTGAGGTTCATACCTGGAAGGAGAGTGTCGGTCGGGTAATCGAAGCTTTGCCATAAGATGATGCCCTGTGATGACCGAAGGATAAAATTCCCATTGTTATCAAGCGTGGCTCCTCCACCAGTTGCCTCTGACGATGAATTTCCTGCGGCGCTGATATTAGTCATCCAGAGAAGCTGGCCGTTGGTGTCTGACAGGGCCAGATTGGATCCGTTTGTGAAGGCCAGTGTTGCAGAAGAAGGATCAGCGATCGGCATAGCACGGTTGGCAACCCACACAACATTGTCTTTGGGTATGTTCTTGTACCATATTCCGACGTAGTAATGTTTTGTGCCGGAGCTGGACGGGGAGAAGAATCCCAGGGCGAAAGTGCCGTCGTCGGAGGTGATGGTGCTTCCAGCAGAAAGCGGCTTGTCGGGAAGAAGGCGGCTGCCGGATGATGCACAGAATGGGAATAACCAAAATGACCAACAAACAAGGCAGATGATTGTGTGTATGGGAGGGGGATCCATTGCTGTAGCGAACTATGGAACTGGGATAATGAAAGCAAAGCAGTGGATGAGTTGCCCTTGGACAATGCAAATCAGAACTCCTGGGAGAGGCAGAGTCAGTCAAGCATATTATTTGTGGCCCTTTTCTTACAGGAAGTTACTGGGAAAGTGGGAACCTTGGAAGTAGTCAAGGATATATATTTACTAGGAAGTTTGAAAATGTTGGGTTGTGGTTGTTATCATCTGGACTATGTCGGACTAGCCTTCTCAGCAAATTAGAATAGACATTTACTTTTTCTTTGAAGCGTGACTGCTTGGTTTTCTTGTTTGAATGTGCTGGTTGCTGGTACTATTTTAGTTGGATTACATATGTTTATGAACAGAGCAAACCCCTTGTTCTGGTTTTGGTATGTAAGCTTAGATGTCTGTTGTGTGTGAAACGAACCTATCTTTTGACCGTAATGCATATGAGATTGCAGTTAAATGTTAACATCAGTGGTGCAGGAAATTCCATGGTCTTCCCATTGGACTTGCATGTTTGACCATGTAAACTATAACTGGATAGGTTGTTAAGATTAAGGACACATTTTTTTTTTCTTTTGGGTTTCAGAAGAACATCATTAGACCCTGACTGGATGTACAAAGGGACCTTGTGCTTGTTTCTTAAAAATGTGAGGTCAAACTCTGTGGGTGGACTCACATATTTACTCTGGTCTTTGCAACTATAGAAGTTTGCGAGCTATGCATTTAAGTGTGCAGTCGTGCCCGAATTTGCGCCCCTAGCTTCGCAAGAAAGAGGGATTTCTTAGCAGTCTTGTGCAACACTCTGGGTGGAGTCACACATTTATCCCAGCTGGTCTCTGCAGGTATGGAAGTTGGCCAGCCACGCGTTCGAGTGTGTAGTCGTGCCCGAGTTTGCGTCCCTAAGCTTTGCAAGAAAAACGAAAATTTTAGCTGCCATGTGCAACTATGTATCTGAAAAGTATTCAGTGTCTTATGCTAGTCATCAGGCTATTGCAGATGTTCACAGTGCACTTCTTCCATCGCAAATGTATTACTCAGAAATGATTTTTCCACTGGATAGGAGGAGGGGAAGGCACGACCATATATACTCGTTGAGATGGCAAGGCTGGAGCAACCCTGTACAAGTTGCACGCCTGGGTATCACTGGAGCAGAGAACATATTTGGCCAAAGAAGCAAGAAGAGGAAGAATGGCTATGTAGTATGTGCACGGGTAACCCTGGCAGGAGCGGTTAATTGCCTACACTCTAGATGGAAAGCGCAACGGGTGAGTACATCTTAGTCGGGGCGATCCGACACCGACCACGATTCTGATTCAGAGTCTGGCCATGATTCCCACTCGGACCACGACTCTGACCATGACGACGATGATGACAACTCAAAGAGCAGGAAGAAGAAGCGCTCAGCTCCAGAGAAGAAGGGAGCCCTTGGAGTTAACCGGTAAGAATAATGCCGAGCTGCCTAAAGTGATCATGTTGGTGTGCGAGCTTCCTTCGTCCTTCAAGCCATTACTTGCTTCAAGATCATGAGAGCAAGCTTCTCTTTATGTGGTATAGGAATATTATTAAATGTAAAACTCTGTATGCATATGCACTTTTTAACTCATGTACTGTATGACTATAGACTACATACAATGAAGTCAACACAGAAATGGACGCGACACTCTGGCATTACCTGCTACGTGCACTACCAACATCAGGGGATCTGGTCTGTATTACCATCCCAGTGTGTTAAAGAAAAATGCCAACCTCCCCACAAAAAATAAACGAAAAACCTAACGCCCATACGTGTGGCATCATGCACATCGCCCACACGCCTCCATCACCACTCATTTTGTCACGTATGAACATATGACATCAGCAGAGATCTTTTTGGTTTTCGGCTTAAAAATGTTTTATCTCCTAATTAAAAAATCAAATTAAAAATCTGTTTTCACCATTAAATCCGCCTCGATGTGATCTTCAAAACTAGACCCAATGTTGATATGTTTCGACGAAAAAAAAATTCTCCAAAGTTGCCATGATGTTTACACTGTAGTTGTCATAGTGCTTAAACTAAAGTTGCCATGTGGCAATTTTAGATTGTAGAGCATGGCAATTTTAGTTTTTTTATTATGGCAATTTCAGTACTTTGACCATGAAAATTATTTTTTGTATGAACCATGGCAATTTTAAGTGCATGTATCATGACAATTTTAGTTTATGGTTCATTACAAGTCTAATTTCTTAATTCCCCGTTTTATAATATGTTAAATTTACTTTTAAATGTAGAAGAAAATAACTGAAACATATCATGGCAACTTCAAGTAAACATCATGGCAATTCATGTGCAATAGAAATGGCAACTTTTAATAAAAAAAATCGTCAAAATATATTGATATGAGATATAGTTTCGAAGATCTCGTCACGAGGGATTTAATGGCGAAAACGGATCTTCAATCAGATTTTTCATTTAAGAGATAAAATATTTTAAAAACTGAAAATCCAAAAAAATTCTCACACGCATGCATGCGGTGACCTGGCGCAGTCTGTGTGTTATAGGGCGTGTGGGCGGGTTTGGCTCCCACCACACGTGTGGGCGTTAGCGTTGTCCAAAATAAAATAAAAATGCGAACTGTCTTACGGTTTTGTTGTTGTTGTTGTAGAAACAGGTATTGTTTTGCAAGGCTGATCTAAGAAAAAAAAAGGTGTAAACATTTGTGCTGTTTCTGAAAACAAAAATGGTTTAACTTTTTTTTGAGAAAAAATGGTTTAAACAGATAGAGAACTGCGTGGAGTGCCAGGCCCATAACCCTGGCTGGGCTGGGCTGGGCTGTGCCGAATCATCACCAAAGAAAGCCGAAAGGTCCAGCTGCGCCCTCATCTCTGGTCGACGGGATTGTCTCAAAAAAAAAAAAAAATCTCTGGTCGACGGGAGCAGAGCGGCGGGGGCGGAGACGCCGCATCTCCGGCGGGAGGAGGAGGGGGAGCAAATGATGGTGGCGCAACCTTCTTCCTCCTCCCGGCCTCACATTTGGCAGCCAGTACGGGCTCAGGCGGCAGATATGGACGGGAGCAGGCCAAGACGCGCCGCCACGCCACGCCGACGGCTTAGCGGGCGAGGCCGTCCGTCCGGGTGGAGCGAGAGCTTCTCAAAGGTGCGTGCTCTAAGCCATACGACTCTCTAGTTGTTTCTTGCACCCTATTTGATGCGAATTAATGGAAGAAATCTCGCGTTGAGGTTGTCGTAGATGAATGTTGCCCGTGAGCAGTGAGCTTAGAGTTGTGGGTAGAAGGTGTTTGCGGTAATGCCTGGAAGAAGAAACCAGCCACTGGCATGTTTTTCAGTTTTCCACAAATCACCAGTTGTCTTTTATCCCTTGAAAGGAACCTCTATGGTGCTCTGACTAACAGACATACTGGATGCAAAATGTCAAAATATACAATTCAACTATCCTTTTCTGCAAGTGTACAAAATTTCAATTGGTTGGTTAACTTGCTTTCTTTTATGCATCCAAAATTCTTGCTGAGAAGGGTCTTTAATGAGAACACTGAGACCTCTCCCATTTTCCGTGGGCTCCTGGGGTCGAGATACATTATTTATATTAAAACAAAGCTTCTTGCTCTTCAAGACATATACCAGTTTCTTATCCAGTATACAGTTGTACAAAGTACACACGGCACTGCTAGGCACTAGCGTCCCTCTAGTGCTGTAATGCTCATGTTATTTCTAGAATTCACAGTATTTTCTGCTGCTCCATCAGCACCATGGTTATCTTCTGCAAAATACATAGGCTCTTTTGGAGGTGGAAGTGATATATCTCCATTCTCCAGAAAGGACATGATTGACGACACGAGAGGCCGCGCATTTGGGCTGCCTTGAACACACAAGAGACCGATATGGACGCACCGTATAGTTTCATTAAGTGAACAGCTGTCCACAATTGACGAGTCAACAAAATCCTTTGTGTTCCCATTCTTCCATAAGCTCCATGCCTGCATCCATTCTTATCCCTTTCAAGATGCATATATTTACTGTACTTGCAGAAATTTGAACATGCCATTTTACTTACATAGGCTATAATGCTGGAGAAGTCTGCTTTTAGGTGCACCGAGCTGATCTTTGAGCCACTCACAATCTCCAGTAGTAAAACTCCAAAGCTATATACGTCAGACTTGACAGAAAACACTCCTTTCAAAACATATTCAGGCGGCATGTAACCACTGTTTGAACACAGAACATAATTTTAGTCAAGCACAGGAACAATGCATAAACATGATTGATGCAGTATACCACTTACTATGTGCCAACTACGCGGTTGGTATTTTCTTGCTGCTGATTGCCGCCAAATATCCTTGCCATACCAAAGTCAGATATCTTAGGGCTCATTTCGGCATCTAATAATATGTTGCTTGCTTTGAGATCCCTGTGAATTATCTTCAATCTTGAATCTTGATGAAGATAAAGAAGTCCTCTAGCTACCCCTTTGGTTATCTCGAATCTTATTGGCCAATCAAGCATTGATTTTCTTGTGGCATCTGCTACCAGTAGCATCAATTGAGGGATAATCAGTTATTTTGGTTGATTTCATTACTTACTGAAATTTGGCAAGACGTAAGCAGAACATACCAAAAAGCATGGCGTCCAGACTTTTGTTAGGTAAGTATTCATATATCAATAGTTTCTCATCTCCGTGGATGCAGAAACCGAGAAGTCTAACCAAGTTTTTGTGCTGCAACTTCGCAATGAGTATTACTTCATTTCTGAACTCCAGTTCCCCCTGTCCAGAACCCTTACTAAGCCTTTTCACAGCAAATTCTGTACCATCTTCTAATGTCGCCTGGACACTTGCATACTTTTAAGTCAAACAAGACGGAAATACAGTTATGTTGCTCTATAAGAGAAAATTCCACGTTACCTTGTAAACATTGCCAAAACCTCCATGTCCAAGCATGTTGGAGTTAGAGAAATTGTTTGTTGCAAGTACAATTTCTTTGAAGTTAATAAAAGGATACTTTAAGTTTCCATCACGAAGTTCAGTAGAAGTGCTTGAAGTTACTGACATCAGCTTCTTCCAAATTTTCTTGTTTCTTTGTTTGCCTGTCAGGAACATTGATGCAAACGTTATAGTAGAGGAACATATCACATAGAAATATGGAATAGCATTGGCCTTCGCAAACATGCTTGAGGGAAATACACCGAGAATGTATGGCACTGTGTTTTACCTCCAAAGCTGCAGATCCAAGCAAGGCACACGCATATGATTATGAGCAAACTTGAAACGACTGGCAGTGTAATTTTTAAAACATTGCTCTTCCGGTTTTTATCTGCCAAAACTCAGTCTGTAAGCAATCACGATTACACATTTGCTAAATAGTTAGTTTCACAAACCAAATATTTCTTACAAGTATGAGCTACATGCACATAGTCTCGACTCTCAAGCAATCTATTTCTCACATGAACAATTGCATCACGAGTATGGTAACATTTGGGAAATACAAAACTTCGGCTTGATACTTCAAACTAGGGCAGCCCGGTGCATGTAGCTCCCGCTTGCGCAGGGTCCGGGGAAGGGTCCGACCACTTTGGGTCTATAGTACGCAGCCTTTCCCTACATTTCTGTAAGAGGCTGTTTCCAGGACTTGAACCCGTGACCTCTTGGTCACAAGGCAGCAGCTTTACCACTGCGCCAAGGCTCCCCTTCCTTGATACTTCAAACTAAAATCCGGCAAAACATGTTTTGTTGAACTGGATGGAATGGTTGTCACGCCCAAGTTTTTTATGTAATATAGGCCCTGTTTGGTTCAGTTTTTATCGACAGATTCCGCTGCCGCGCAGCAGAATCTGAACCAAAGGGCGAACCCAACAGAATCCGATTTTAGAAATCCGCTGCCAAAATCTGAACCAAAAGCTGAAGCAGCTCAGGACGTGCTTTCCAAAATTTGATTCCGCTGCGGGCCAAAATCTGAAAAAGCTGTATCAGCTGGTTTGCCAAATGAGCTACATCTTTTTCACATCAGATTTTCCACAGCTGTTTTCCCACAACAGATTTTTCACAGCTGCTTTTAGAAATCCACAGCCGAACCAAACAGGGCCATAATCGGATGGCATAAATGACTTATGCCTGAACTTGAAGGTTTCCTTCTATAGGTATATCTTGTATATTGACATGGATTGTACGAACTTGTAGGAGCAACTACATTTTCTATCAATAGGAAATAGACAGTAACTCAAATTCAAGTTCAATGAAATATGGCTCGAACCAGGGTGCTATGATTGACATTCACTCTTCCGCCCATGTGAGTTAGGCTCACTTCCTATGCATTGACTGAGATCAGATATATATTGAATTATAGACTTTGGACCAACTGTGTTGGTGGCTGGCCAAATCTTTGCGGACACCTCAGGTGTCTGAAACATGTATTAGAGTCTGTTCCTTGATAATTATTCAGATAGAAATGCTTTACATGATCTGGGATATTGCCAACCCCTGCATGCTCGTATTTTCATTCTGCATCCAGTGGCTCCTAATCAGCACCCTCTAATTGGATAAGCTATTATCTTTTCATATAAAAAAAGATTGTAGTGATTTACAGACTGCATATATGTTCCACCAAACAGTTCCATCATAATGGCATTATCAAGTTCACCCTCTAATATTTCTCCGTCACTACTGAGTTAAACCTTTCTTGTACTCACATTGAACATAGAACTAAGGAGGTTATTGTTGGAGCTCCACTGGGCACACAAATAGAGGAGTATATCTAATAAAGCAAGCAGAGAAACAGAAACAGTAAAATTTACCACTCAATCCACTAACTCGGATATAGAGGTTTTCCCCTTGTCCAATGAACTTCTCCGTGTCAATCAAATCTCCTATCCATAATAGGCACCTAGTATCATCCTCATCGATAGCATTAGTTCTCATAGTGGTGTAAGTATATGCCGTACACGAGCAGTTGCTTGTGCATTCTGCTATGCATTCATCTAAGCTTTTATTCTTGACATACAAGAACTGGTCGGGAATCTTCATGGTTGACATATTTAAGAAGCCATCCCCTTGACCACATCTTAGTGCTTCCATCCGGTGGCATCCCTGTGAAAACCTGCGGGTCGTCCAGTCTTGTTTGTTGTTTGGCTCAAAGCCATCAAGACACTTGCATGTCACAATAGGCTGTGTGTTGTCACAGTAACCAAATGGACCACAGTAACCAAATTTGTTGCATTCCTGGTTAGGTCCTGAATACTGGTCAGTCCATTTGGAGCTGTTGCTATTCCAGATTTGTGTCTTTATCTTGCCTGAGTAGTCAATCTTCATTAGCACTAGTGAGACACTAGGTACTGGTAGTCCAAAGGAAGCGTAGATCTCATCACCAATAGTTTGCAGTGTATAGTAAATTGTGGACTTGATACTCTCAACATACTTCCCTACTACCAAATTGTTATTCCATACCAGACTTCGCCGGTATGGTGCTGAGCCATTCCATGTAATACGCTGCCGAAACTCATCAGGGTCTGCACCATATGAGAAGTTGCCCGGGGATGGGTCTTGGGGGTTTCTCCAAGAGATGAGCTGTTGTAGTGCATGCGTCTTGTGGGTGATCCTGAGGTTCATACCTGGAAGGAGAGTGTCGGTCGGGTAATCGAAGCTTTGCCATAAGATGGTGCCATGTGATGACCGAAGAATAAAATTCCCATTGTTATCAAGCGTGGCTTCTCCACCAGTTGCCTCTGACGATGAATTCCTTGCAGCGCTGATGTTTGTCGTCCAGAGAAGCTGGCCACTGGTGTCTGACAAGGCGAGATCGGATCCGCTTGTGAAGGCGAGTGTTGCAGAAGAAGGATCAGTTATCGGCATAGCACGGTTGGCAACCCACACAATGTTGTCTTCGGGTATGTTCCTGTACCATATGCCGACGTAGTAATATTTTGTGCTGGAGCTGGACAGGGAGAAAAATCCCAGGGCAAAAGTGCCATCGTCGGAGGTGATGGTGCTACCAGCGGAAAGCGGCTTGTTGGGAAGAAGGCGGCTACTGGATGATACATAAAATGGCAATAAACCAAATGACCAACAAACAAGGCAGATGATTGTGTGTATGGGAAGGGGATCCATTGCTGTAGCGAACTATGGAACTGAGATAATGGAAGCAAAGCAATGGATGAGTTATCTTTGGACAATGCAAATCAGAACTCCTGGGAGAGGCAGAGCCAGTGAAGCATTTATTTGCGGTGCTTTTCCCACAGGGAACTAATGGGGAAGTGGGAACCTTGGAAGGAGTCAAGAAGAGATATTTAGGAAGTTTGAAAATGTTGGGTTGTGGTTGTTATCATCTGGACTATGTCGGACTAGCCTTTCTCAGCAAATTATAATAGACATTTACTTTTTCTTTTAGGTGTGACTGCTGGGTTTTCTTGTTTGAATGTGCTGGCTGCTGGTACTATTTTAGTTGGATTACATATGTTTATGATTAGAACAAACCCCTTGTTCTGGTTTTGGTATGTATGCTTAGATGGTTTTTTTGAAACGAACCTATCTTTTGACCGTACACATATGAGATTACACTTAAATGTTAACATCAGTGGTGCAGGAAATTCCATGGTCTTCCCATTGGACTTGCATGTTTGACCATGTAAACTCTAACTGGACAGGTTAAAAACAGGGACAGATCAGCTCATTAAGCAGGACACAATTTCTTTTCTTTTGGGTTAACATCATTAGACCCTGACTGGATGTACAAAGGGACCTTGTGTTTGTTTCTTAAAAATGTGAGGTCAAACTCTGTGGGTGGACTCACATATTCGTTCTGGTCTTTGCAATTATAGAAGCTTGCCAGTTATGCATTTAAATGTGCAGTCATGCCCTCGTTTGCGCCCCTAGCTTTGCAAGAACAACTGTCTGAAAAGAGCATATCACCTGAAAAGGATGTTTAGCTCGCTATGCGTTTATGTTATTGCCGATTTGCTCACAGTGCATTTCTTCTATCATAAATTTATAACAGAAATGTTTTTTGCACTGGAGGAGGTGAAAGCACAATCATATACTTGCTAAGATGGCAAGGCTGTAGCAACTCTGTATAAATTGCACACATGGGTACTCCCTCCGTCCGAAAATACTTGTCATCAAAATGGATAAAAGGGGATGTATCTAGATGAAAGCACAATCATATTTAGTTCTAAATACATCTCTTTTTATCCATTTTGATGACAAGTATTTTCGGACGGAGGGAGTAACACTGTAGCAACTCAAAGGTAGTTACAGCAGATATTCTTATGCTCAACTGACTGGGACATCGATCTGCAAGTTATCATCTGACCTTGTTTTGCTGACGCATATGGCACTAGAACTACCACTTGCTTTCTTCAGCGAATGTCCAGGGTACTGATAAGCTCATTTTGAGAAGTGTAAAACTAATAACTATGTTCATCTAGCACTGCAGCCATGGCATAGCTGACTCTCTAGCTTCCGAGATTGTTCCTGGCAACGGGCATGGGTTTACTGCAGACTGACAAGTGGTTATCTACCCTTTGTGTAGGATATTCCAAATGAGTACCAAATGACACGAGTCTACGGTGGATCTCTCGACCTATGGTGCTTAGGTCTCTCGATTGGGTACAGATACAAGCTAGGGTTTCAGCAAGAAAAGGGGATCGGGAGAAGGAGCCGGGAGGTGGGAGAGAAGATACACACCCAAAGACGGTCCGTTCTGTCCGGTGATCTATCGATACCCACCACATAGCACTCGCAGCTGTTAAGTACCACTCACTGCCTCCACTCCCGGCTGATGACGCGCACATTGGGCTTGGCACCCCTCCTGGGCCGTTCCGGTTAGGCTTTGGCAGTCACGGTAATTGCTCCGTGACGTTGCAGCTAGCTTCGTCACTATGTGGGGCCTGCGTTCGGGTTGGGGTTAGTTGAAATGTTTCACAGAGTTTGGTGGACGCAGGTACGGAACTACGGATAGGCGGTGGCTCTGCTCTACTAGCGCTCCATGGCTTGTAATGAGCTGATTTGACATGAATTGATGCTTAGTTCCGATAGTTGCTTAGCTGCCTTGTTCTATTTCGTTGGTTTTGGGGACGATTTGATGCCAGTTTGTTCGGGGACATGCATTTCATCGTGGCGTGCATCTGTAATAATGAAATATTATCAAGGTTCTATTTTCGGATCGCATTTGTTCATAAATTTTCATGTGGCTTATTTAATCGCTCATGGACATTCTGTTATATGTACAGGCCATGTGCGCTTGTGGAACTTCACATGCTTGTCCATATAAGTTAGTGCATTGATTCGTGCAGTGTTTGAGTCCACGACCATGTCAATTGCCGGTACTGGATCTGCCTCGTTTCATCTGCCCAACTCTGAATGCTTTTATGTAAAAAATGAATGCTCAACCTCACATGCTTATATGCTTGCTTTGGTTAATTTCGATTGGATGCTAGACTTCGCGTTGTGTCTGGGTTGATGTTTAGTTAGACTGCCGGTGAACATTTTTCTGCTGGACTCTTTATGAACATAAGTCCCCTCAGCTGACATTTGTCACATGGTATTGTTTGTATACAGATAGAGCACTGCATCGTGGGTGTCTGTCTACATGGATCTGTCCTTTGACCATCCAGTTGCGCTGTTTATCATAGCCCTATAACTCTGCTGGTACCCTGCTGCGTGATGAACCAGAAATCGCTCCTATCATGAACCGAATTGAGCAGTACAATGGCCGTTTTGCTGGAGTTCCTCACAGTATGATTCAGGTAAACCTGCCATGTCTTCTGGATAAAACTCTTCTACATATACCGAGTGCCGTTGCTGTCTTGATTACATCAGTGGAAAAGGCCTAAGTGCCCGTACTTAGCCTTTTTCTCTTGGCTTCTTTTGTCATGTTTAGATTGGTGGCGTATTTTCAGATGAAATGTTACTTTACCTCTGAAACTAGAACTAAACAGAGAACTCCTATTAATTTATCTAGTTCAGTCTATAGAAGCAGTTATATTAGCTCCACATGCCTGTTCAGTCCAGTGTCTTAAAAGTTGCAACAGCAACCCTTCGAATCTGCTTAGAAATCAATCCATTGAATGAGAGTGAATGTCTACCAGAGTGTACAATTGGAACCCAGTTGATGATATACTGTAGTCACACCTAACTAATTGAGCCATATAAATTATCAGAGGCCGTTCTTGGTGAGTTGGCTTCTGCAACATTAGTTGAGCTGAGAGATTATGTTACAATGTTACTAATATGTTTATATATTAAATAGTCTTCACTGTAACAGCAAAGCTTCTGTCCAGCTAGAAAGTTTGCACCCATCCATGTTAGTACGTATCATTAACTTGATAGAAGCACAAGTATGCATAACCCTCATCATACTGCAAAATTCATGCTCTTTAACTTTAACTAGTTGTTATACACCACAAAATGGCAATGTCAAACACATAACTAGTTTTCTATCTGGAACTGAGCGTGCTCAGCAACATCTTATATTATGGGACGGAGGGAGTACATGACTTACTCTACATTTTTACAATAACTAGATGACCCGTTGCGCCAAATGGCGCAAAGGCCGGCAACAAGCCAAGTATTGCAAGAGTGGTGATAGGAAAACTCAGTCATAGATCGAAATAATGAGTACTTACTGCTGGTTACTGTCTCTGTTCATGATTACTGTTTCTCCTGGAATAGTCTATGCTAAATGATAGTGCTATATCGCTTGGTTGGAAGGTGGACGCTGCCAGTTAGGGCATGCCTCTTCCTTGCTTAGCATATTTGTTGTTGCTGGTGAGTACTCGATGTTTGGAACACAGAAAGTAGTAAAAACAGATAATTATTGATAAGGGTGGCATTATGCATATTAATAGTTTCATGAGGAACAACAGCAAAGGTTATATAAGTAAAGTATAGGTGGTAGCTGTTCAAAAGCAGCAGAGATAGCATGGCCGAAAAACAGAGGAAGGTTTCATCCTATTACAGAGCTTGATTAGTAGTCCTTAGAATGCTAGATGATATTTAGATACGACCTTAGTTGCTGTCGATGGTTCATCTAAAGGCAATGCACGATGAGAACCAGGCGCTGCTTTGTGGTGACCTTGAAACGAAAGGCACCTTGAAAAGAACCATGAGATGCGGCCAACAAACTTCCCTACTGCAAACATCAGTTCATGCTCAGACTCTACATTACACATGAACTTTCACTATACTGCATGTAGAACTAATTCTTTGAAACATGTCATAGGACTTCATATCAACTCACAACCCAATAAAAGCCTAAATTTCAAACAACATCTCCATAAAAAGCAATAGGAAAATGTATAAAACCCCACGTAAAAGATTCTTAAAAACAGTATGAAGACAGTGGTATTACATTCAAGGAAAGCAAGACAAAATATTGATCTTGGAAGCACATTACATCAGCCTTGATATGATCTGCTGCGCCTCGGTGGCGTCGTCGATGTCTTTGGGGCAGTGCCGGCCTCGGCATCCAAGAGCGTCACATCGGCGGTGTCATGGACGGCCTCCATGCCATCCAGGGGCGATGTGGGCTGGCCAGCATGCGTGGGGGCAAAGGTCACGACCAGGATGCGGATCCATGGCGGCGGCGCCGCGGAACCCCCCTGCACACCTCTCCATTGACGCCGTATCCATGGTGTCACCGCCGCGGAACTCCTCTGCACACCTCCCCCTTGACGTTGTACGCCACGCCACAGCGCCTCCACGTCATCGAACACACCCGCCACGTAGCACCATGTGCATCCTCATCCACGGGGATGACAGCCCCGATCCAGCGGATCGACCCGTCACAAACCTCTAGGTCGCGCCGCCGACGCAGATCAACGTCGGCCGGTGACCCTCTCTCATCCACCGTCGCACCTCCTTTTCCTTCCTGCAGATCGAATCGAGTGCCGCCGCCACCATCAAAGATGAATCTGGGAGGAAGCGAGGAGAGGAGGAGAGGTGGGGGCAGGGAGGGGATGCGCTGGAAGCCATGGGCTGAGGGAATGTAGCGGCCAATATGTCTACATACAGCCATGAACGTGGAGAACAACCAATGGTTTACTGGCTGCCAGCAGCCAAAAACCTCGCTAAAGGAAAAGAATCGTTCGGTCCAACAAGCTCAGCGCACA